AGGGTCTCCGTCTTCCTCTCCGACACCGTCAGCCCGAACTCCCGGAACACCTCAACGATAATGGTCATCATCCTCGCCAGGCCGTCGGCGGACTTCGACACAACGCCGGCATCGTCGGCATATAGCATCCCCCACACCGCCCTCCGGACTCGGTCCAGCAATCCCTCCCCCCTCCGTTCCTCCTCCTTCAAGTACACTAGGTCCCGCACGATAACCTCATCTTGGCTGAACCGTGTGACAATGATCTCGAGAGGCGCTGCGAAGAAGACGTTGAACAGCAGTGGGGACATTGAGCACCCTTGTCGTAATCCCTGCGTGACCGGGAACCAGTCCGATAGCTACCCATCGTCCGTGCGGACCCGGGCCCGCAAGTGTGGGGAGATCTATACATGGTGACTGCACGCCGTTGCCTAATTGGTGGCTCGATCCATCACGCGCAAAGAACATGAAAGAGGTACCACACACCACACTGCTGTGTACACACCCTTGCTGCAATGTGGCTCCTGTTACATTTGCTGGGTACACACGCCCCACATCACACTCTCACTCAGATCGCGCGGATGCAAAGAAAGGCCGATCGCCACGGAACCTGTTGGATTTGTCTCTTGTGGAAACAGGCTGACAAGTACCTAAATAGTGCAAGACGGTTTTGTTTCTCAAGAAGCATTTTGTGCGTATGGATACTAACGAACAACTTTTTGTTCGAGTCCTTGCGACGAAAAAGAACGACAACGACGAAGGCGGAGAAGAAAAGAGTAAGTTCCTGTGAGGCCGTCCTCCTGTGTGGCCCCGGCTGATGCGCCCAGAAAAGTACACCGAAATGAATCGTACTACAGTAGGGCCTCGGTGGTGCCGGCCGGTATGCACACCGTATATGACACAAGATAACACACCCCCTTGACCGATTTTCGAAGCTCGATTTCTCAACTGCCGGAACAGTCACAGCGCCGAAAACGGCGGCGTTAAAACCGTCTCGTTGAGAGCTTTTCGAAAATGTATCGTTTTGTTTATGCATCCTCTTCGTCGTGGAGTAATCGAGCTTGAAAATCGGTCCAGGGGGCGTGTTATCTTGTGTCATATACGGTATGTGCCCGCCAGATTCACCGGCATAACTGTATACTAGACACCCCCGGTACTATTCAGAGAATTGTTGTTGTTCTTGTTCTTGTTCTTGTTCTTGTTGTTGTTGTTGTTGTTGTCTTGACACATCAAAAACCGTTCGGATGAGACACACTTTTGAATATTCGTCGATGTCATGCGATTTCACTGTCAGTATCTTACCGGGTATGGCACAGTTCAATCGGCCCCATTGAGGGCCCCCCACTTTATTGGCTGGCGTCCACGACACGATAAATGAGGCGACACGCACGAACACACAGCAGCAGTGTCTGGTTAAGCGTGGTGTGCAAGTTTGGCAACGTTTGGCTCCGCACCGTCAGCATCAAACGCGGGTATGTTGGTATTTGCTTCTGCCAGTGTCAATAATGGCCGACCGTTGGCTATTTTGTCTTGTATGTTTTGTCTTTGTTGTTGATCAGGGTGTGGCGGCGACTTACGCCAACTACGGGGGCCTGGTGGCCAGGCGTCCGCTACCCCTCTTCCTCCTCGGGCTTGTGCTGGCTACCATCGCGTGCGTGGGCTTGATCAACCTGCAGACCACCAATGACGTGCTCTCAATCTGGATGTGAGTCTCGCTCTTTCTCTTGTCTCTCTCTCTCTCTCGCCGCGTCCCCAATGATGATGATGATACGAATAATGTGTGCCTGTTGGTGTTGGGTTGTGTTTTGAGGTTGTCCTTGCGAGATTGAGGTGTCTCATCATTGCTTGGAACCGCGACCGGGATTTTTCTGGCATAGGGTGCGCGACAAGCCATTGCTCTCTTTCGCGCA